CGGCTGGGAAGGGGAAGAAAGCAAGGGGTTCAGAACATCACAACAAAAAAGAGTTAACTAGAAAGTAAAAGTATTAATAGGCAACAGCTACAGTTTACTGCAATTTACTATATGTTTTATGGCATGTTATAAAGAACTAAAAGGAAGGTTGGGAAGCTTCAAATACAATGAAATGTACATATTTAAGGAGCTGGAAATGCTAATTAGCCTGACTTATATACACTGTAAAGGTGTACTGAATTACACTTTATCCCATAAACATGAGCAATTATTGTATACCAATTAAAAATTACTCTAGCGAAGCAGTTCTCAACCTGTGGGTCACAACCCCTTTCATAGGGGACACCATCTTGCATATCAGATATTTACATTATGATTCATAACAGTAGCAAAATTACAGTTATGAAGTAGCAATGAAAATTATGTTATGGTTGGGGTCACCCCAGCATGAGGAACTGTATTGAATGAAGGGTCGCAACATCATGAAGGTAAGGAACCACTGCTTTAGTGCCAAGTGTGATAGCTTACCCTTGTAATGCCAGAACAGAAGAGGCTGCAGCAGGAGGACTGCCACAAGGTCAAGGCCAGCCAGACTACAGCAACAATGAAAAATTTACTCTTAAAAAAACTACACCATAGCCTGCACCCACAGAAGAACAAATGTTCATAGAATACTTACTCAGATATCAGCCAGTATTTTTTGCAATGTCTTCTCCACAGTGGATCATGAGTTGATAGCTGGCTAAGTCTTCGACTGACATAGCCACAACTGGTAATAACCAGATTCAATTAGTATAAAAAGGGAAAAATTTAAAAAACAAGCATTAAAATAGCCATTGTTAAATTTTGAGTCCCTTTATTTTTCTTATTTCTACTTATTACCTATACTGCAATGCGCATCCTTTAAAATCTACTTAATGTGTGAGTTAGTATAATTGCCCTGTGAGTAATATGGAGAAAGTAACATATTATCTCACATTCAAACTAATTCCCAATAGATTAATACAGTTTCATCCGACACAGTTAGGAAAATAGGCACCAAAACCATTAGGGCCTGGCAACATGTTAGACACTTGGCAAAGTTGGACTGTACTGGGAAAGAAAGAAGCTGCAGTATGCTGGATGAGTCTGTAGACAAAAATAGTGTTCAACTCGACTCAATTCCACAAATGAGGAGGAGTCATGTCACTTCAGCTTAAAATTCTGATTACTACCTAAAGCTTTGAACTAAAACTCTGTTCTTAACAAGAGGCTACATGATCTCACCAGCCATCCTTCACTTGGCTTGCCTGTTACTTGTTACTACCTTTAGCAAAAACAGCTTTCTAGTTTTTCTAGTTGAACAGGCCGCACTATTGTTAACAGACCCATGAGCCTCTCGACACTGTTCCCTTCACGAGGGCAGAACTGCCCTCCGCCACACTTGTATCTTCCACAGAGTTAGTCATCTCATCCTGCACATTCCCCAGGAGTGCAACTCATGTATTCCTTCCTAATACTTGGCCCCTCTTGCAACTGTGCACTTGTTTGACTTTCCATCTTTTCTATAGGATTTAAGTCACATAAAAAGACCATATCTCTCGACAGGTGGTGGTGGCCCACGCCTTTAATTCCAGCATTCGGGAGGCAGAGGCAGGCGGATCTTTGTGAGTTCGAGACCAGCCTGGTCTACAAGAGCTAGTTCCAGGACAGCCTCCAAAGCCGCAGAGAAACCCTGTCTCGAAAAACAAAAAACAAAACAAAAAAACAAAAAGAAAAGAAAAGAAAAAGACCATCTCTCTCTAATTCACTATTGTATGCCTATGCCCACATGTAACTGACACATGGCAGGCACTCCAAAAAAATTGAACAAATGAATAAAAAAATAAACAATACTTACACTCTAGAAGTGAATACTATTATGACAAACTGTAGTTGAAGAAGATGGTGGGAGTGTAAGGTTGCCAAGTTGAGGAGAGTTAAGTATTCCAGACAGGGAGCAGCGTTTACACAACAATGTGCAAGTGTGTGGTATGCGGCTTGATGTCTGCTCTAGCTAGAATAGACTGCACAAATCCGATAGTGGAGGGAGGCCTGAAAGGCCTTAGATAATAAGCTAGATGATAAGGGCCTTAAATACTCCAGAAGTTCAGCGTACAGTCTGTAAACAGGGCTATTATGGGCTTTTAAGAAAAGTGACAGCCAGATTCGGAAGATAATTCTGGCAGCAATCAAAGATAGAAAGCTGTCAAGATAAGTTATAGCAAGAGTGTATTTCAGATGAAATCAATTTGAGCTGGACAGCTTTCTCTACTTTAGTACCCACTGGGTAGGGGAAAATGTTTTCTGGAAAAACAAAAGTGTTAGCAGGTACGAGTGGAGGCCACAACAGAAAACCCAGGAAATACCTCTGCCACCATTTAGCTAGGCCAACCAACAGCTACCTATAACTCCAAGAAATCCGTACCTCCCTAACAGGCCCCTAAAAACCGAGGACACAATCATCAAATGGCCAGGATCCAGTAACCAATCAAAACACAAAACCGTGTCTTCCACATATGATTCTGTCTCCCCTATAAACATACACGGAGGCACAAGAACGCCTGGCCATGCTGTCAAGGATGTAAACAATCCTAA